GGTGCCACAGTTCAGCTCACGTTGAACGATTGTGTGGTCCGAGAAATCGCTGATTTTGAGCGCTTGACTGATTATGTCAGGTGTGTCTTTAGCCGCCGATAAGCTGTTTGCAAGGTAGTCATAAATATCCCTGATCTACCAATTTCCCTTTAGGAGACATTGAGGATAGCGTAGCTGATGCCCAGTAGAAAATCCGAGGTGCCAACTGGGCTCTGCTCCAATATTTATCAGCGTCTCTCTCAGTCTCCTGAATGTTCACTTGGAACGAGTACTTCTTTCGCAGATACACGTGGAACGACCGGTAGGAACTTTGCAGCGTAGCAACTGCAGGAACACTTCCGACAAAAATAGCCCCAGCCAGCGCCTTCCTCGATCTCAAAAAGGCCTTCGGTACTCTGGACCGACACAGACTCTGAAAATTAGTGATGAAATTCACATGTCCAGAAAGGTTCACATGACGGCCCAGTAGCGTGCGACACGGACGATGGGTCAATATCGGAAATATCCCCGGTGACAAATGAGTTGCAGCAGGGGTGCATACTACCTTTTCCTACTCTCCTGTTCACTCTAATGCTGATGGACGCTTACTAATTGGACCAAAGAGCCATCTAAACAGACGGAGAAACTACTGAGCATCCGTAGTGTGCAGACCGTCGCAAAGGCCTAAAAGGCCACACCGCCCGAATCTCTCACCACCGACTACTGTGTATTAGGCAGAACTGTAGCGTCTGAGCGGTGGAGAGTGTGTAGTCAGAGCGCTACAATCACCAGGCCAGATCCCGAATTGGAGGAAAAGACAAAAGTCACCGGGTTGAGAGGTTTATTGTATACGGAACCCTGCACTGTCTCCTCAGGCGACAGTGGCCAGAGCTAGTGTCCAGCCATGCCTGAGAGTCCGTGAGATAGAGGTGGCAGCTACTTTTGTAGGCTTCTGGGCAAGCTCAAGGGGTGCCCGGGGGTGATGTTTACGTGGCTCATGCTGTGTCCGTAGTGGGTGGGGTGTTCGAGTGGCGCATGTGCGTCCGAGGTTAGGTCGAGGGACTGCAGGCCAGCATATTTGGAACCGCTCGCTACGAAGGTGAGTGATATTTAGGCGACGGAGCCTTAGACAAGGACGCCAGACATGGCCATGATGACCGTTGGAAACAAAACAACGAAAGTGGACATGTAGTAAAATTCAGGCCCTCTTGCCCACGAAAGCACTCACTTCGGATTAACTTTTAGCCCGTTGAAAAGTTGTTTTGTCCGGCCTTTCCCATCTCTTGAATAAACAGAATCCGCGGTTACTGCCAATGGAAATAACCTTGGGCAAGGATAAAGTATATGACGGGGGTCAGAAAAAGCTAGCCTATGGAGCGTTTCTTACAGGAATTGTGGCAATGGGAGTTGTACGAGTGTGGCCTCATAGACGCATAGAGGAACAGCCTTAAAAGGAAATTATTCGTAGGAGGCAGACTGATTTGGGTACTTGGGTAATACTATCTTAGACAATATCAACACCGATAGCAAAAGCGCAGTATGATCTCTAAAATTTCCGGCGGAATCCTATTTGAAACAAAACTCTGCAAGAAACTGGACTATCTTCCTGACAGTGATCTCCTGCAAGGCGCAAAGTTGGTCAAACGAAAAATCTAGAATACCTTCAGTTATGTTATCCTTGAGATATCGGAAGAGAATTTGAAGGATGGAGTCCCGGACGCCGAGATAATGACTGTGCGCAACATCGATGCCAAGCTGAAGTAGAATAAACCTCGCTAGAGCTGCGCGTCATGGCGACTGTTGAGCGCCTATCTAAGCGACTCGTCCATATTGACATGGCCACCAGTACTCATAGGCGGGGGAGACTAAATTAGGAAAAGAGGGTGTCTTGAAGGCCTCATAAATCAGTCTCCACGTCAACCAATGGGCCTTGGGAAGCAGCGCAGGACTGGTGGGCACGGAATTGTTCGCATCCAATCGAATACTTGAGGCCAGGGCAAATCGACAGTAATTCAAGAACGAAGTGCTTCGGAGCAATGCGTGTTTTCACTGTATGGGTCAGTGTAAGTCCTACTGGATACCTTTGAATGTATCGCAGTGTAAGCAAAACCACTCTATCCCAGAAACACTGACGTTGTTAAAGACGCCTCACATAACTACCCTCACTGTGACCACAGATTCTGGTCCGAAGTCTCCCTGGCCGGGCGCTTTCAAAGTCATTGCAGAAGGAACACGGGTAGGACGCATGATAACCTACAAGCTTGCCTGCTACCTTATAGCTAGTTACCCAGGCGACAGAACACTTCCCCACAACGAGCAGAAGATTGCGGCTAGTCTACGAGGGCGGCGCCTCTGGTTCCGATGTATGTAAGATGCAGTGAATGGAACAAGCGATAGAGAATCCGAGAGACCTAGGTTCACGCACATTGCTGCCATTGAGTACACCGAACTTGCCCTACATTGACAAAATTTGCAGGGGGTAGCTGTCTATCAGTAAACACCTGCACACCAGCCTGGTCGGACATATGAAATTCTATCGATCAAGAGTCCAAACCAACACTTGTTAGGTTCATCTTATCCGTCCGCATATTAACATATAATATAGGCATGTGGGAGTAAACCACAATCGTCACTAAGATAGTGCTCATGCTGCACCTCTACGTGCTGCAAATCCCGGCAATCCGACCGTCGAGAGCGACCAAACACATAAAATGTTCCGAGGTGCGACCTTCAGCGTGATTATGTTTCCGTTGAGTCAGACCTCGGCGAATCTGCTTCACCGCCTGTTCCTACACCCACCGTATTCTGGCGGCACTATCAAGTCTATACCACTGGAGATGGATGTAAGCGCAGTGGCCAGCAAGACTAAGTACGCGGGTCACACACAACCAGGTCCTTAACTACACATACCATATTTCGAAGAAAAAAGTGTCTAGGGTCTGGCACAACTGATGGCCTATTCTGCCGGCTGGCAACATCCGTGGCTACGACTGTTAGCACATCTTAATTGTTCCAAAACTCGCCTTATTGCATGTTGTGAGGAAATAGGCGCTGGACGGACTTTAATATTCCTCACCTCTTAAGTCCCCGCAGCCTGTTCAATTCAAGCAGACTGGGAACGAGATTAGGCATATTGGCTGATGTGAAGTAGGCTCCTAACGTGCGCCACACACGGATCGAAGACTCACAGATGTGGACCATGCTATAAAAGCCACATTGAGCAGGAGTCGTTGAAGTCTGAGTCTGACTGCGAAAGAGGACCGAGCTACCCCACCAACCGGCGACCGCCCAGGGCACGAGGTCTAAAAGGCATCTTGATAGATTCATGCGCGCCAAGCATGCCACAGGAGGGACGATAGTTCAGTGGCAGGCTCACTCTCTCAACCTTCCATGCACCAGGGCACACCCCCCGTTTGTCCACCGACCAGTAATCAAATTAGGCACAGTGGCTGTGACGGCATGAATGCCTAATTAACATCTAACGCGCAGGCGGGTAGTGGTTACGTTCTTAAACATAAATCGACTGACGCGCTCCAATGGGCCAATGCTACCTCCTTTCTGCCTTCTGGTCTCGGGCACTGGAACCGGGGTCCAAATTCGAGCCGGGGGGGGGGGGGAAGGTTCATACACATACAACCTGTCTGCGTTAAACCAGTCATTGCCAGGAGTCCAAATCAACAGCCTACAGGCCTGCTCTACGCGTCTGCACTGTTTGTGGAAACTGAGGCATCGGTCGTCCTACTCTGCTCAGTTTAGCCTCTAAGCAGCAATCTGAGGAACATTTAAAGTATCCTGATGTGCTAACAATCGTGGCTTGGAAGGCTGCTAACCATCACTAGATCTAGGTTCCCCTCTGCAATTAGGATCAGAGTGGAACGGCTCTTTAATATGGTCTGTAGGACAACTCAATTTGGCGAGTCGAGATCCCCTAATCTAAGCGCGCTATGTGTGTACTTGGTTTATGGGTGGTACGCGAGGACAGACCACGTAGGTGACAGGCAGTGTCCACTCCCTCTCAATCCAGTCCTACTACTGGAGCGTGGTACGCATTAAAATAGAGGGATGCAAGTGTATAATAAGACCGCTTCACCGTAAAAAAAATTCACCCACAGGTCCCGATCCTGTTCAGATCAACACATTCTCCGTAAACAGCCTCTAATGCTCAAATGATGCCCTAATTACACCAAGGCAATCATCGTCGATCCCAATACTGTCCACATGAAGGCTACAGACTAAATTTATATCCCTTACTATGGACACGATACATACGACGTTCCGAGGCATGATTTACTTGATAAGGCTCCGATACCACTATTTCGTCAGCCGAGGCATGACCGCGCGACACCAAGAATGCAGCTACATCCAAACTGTAATAGCCTCCAAGCCGCCAGCTTTCTATTGTTGCGAAAAGTACTGAATAGTCGGAGTGCAACCGTCCAAGTCGCGCGTGTGTCGACTTTGCGGTCGGTGGCCCCATAACTTCCTGGTTGACACCGCAGTCCTCAGCGGACGGGTCACACATTAGAATGGGACGGTCCCGCTGCCTCAGCCCACCAGTATGCGCAGACCCGTGGTACTTGCCGACATGGGACCAAACCCGGGCTAGACAGAGGTCGGGACGGCCGATGACACCAGGAAACACCAGTAGTCACTGAGTGCCGAACCCGCTAACGGAAAATGCAAACTTGCCCTTCGCCATAAACATTGAACATGCGACGAAACCGCGCCCCACGATCGGGTACGAAAACGTAGGTAGAGTAACCCCAGATAGCTAAAGTAATGTGTAAGCCAGCAAGCAGCTCTGATCGGATATCTACCAGCGGAGTAAGCGTTCAAATATCCTCGCTAGGCATAATGCATTCGACACAAGAGTTACTACCTATAATCGACAAAAGCAAACCGAACGACGATCAGTCCACCCTCGCAAACTGTAGATCCCAAGGCAAAAATCAAAGGCCAATAGACAAGAGGATGAGTTAGAAATGTAACTAGCAAAATAAGTACAGAACGAAATAAAATGCTCAGTCCACTTCCTCCATGCCTGCGGCATCGTCACCGGCCTCCGCAGGAGCCGCATCCGCCGCAGCCGACACCGACTCCAGCTTCTCACCACCCTCGTCCTCAATCTGCAGACACATGCTGATCAACTCATGGATCTTGTTCGCGTGCGTCTTGGAATCGTCCAAAGTGAAGCCCGAGGCCAACATAGCAGTGTTAAAGAGCATATGGATAAGGTCTTTGCAGATCTTCTGATTCTCACCCTGCGAGTCAGCCAACATCTCCTTCAGCTTTTTTATTATGATGTGCTCTGGGTTCAGCTCCAAGTGCTTCTTGCCCGCCATGTAGCCCATCGTACTGGAGTCCCTCAATGCCTGCGCCTTCATTATCCTCTCCATGTTTGCCGACCAACCGAACGTCGACGTCACTACGCAACACGGGGATGTCAGCAGTCGGTTTGAGATCGTCACCTTCTCCACCTTGCCGGACAGAATCTCCTTGATCTTCGTGCATGTCGGCTCAAACTCCGTCTTCAGCTCCTCAAACTTCTTCTTCGACTCCTCATCCTCCGGCAGCTCTAGACCCTCCTTCGTCACGCACACCAACTTCTTGCCATCGTACTCGCGAAGCTGCGTCACGGCATACTCGTCAATCGGATCAAGCATGTACAACACCTCCAGTCCGCGCTTCTTCAGCACCTCCGTGAAGGCCGAATTCGCAACAGCCTCCTTGCTCTCACCCGTTATGTAGTAGATGTCCGTCTGATTCTCCTTCATCCGAGACACGTAGTCTTTCAGGCTCGTCATCTCATCACCGCTGGAGGAGGAGTAATACCTCAGAAACTCGGACAACTTCTTCCTATTCGTGCTGTCTTCGTGGATGCCAAGCTTGATATTCTTGGAGAACTGCTCGTAGAACTTCTTGTAGTTCTCTGCATCCTCTGTCAACTCATCGATCAACTCCAGACACTTCTTCACCAGATTCTTACGGATCACCTTCAGAATCTTATTCTGCTGCAGCATCTCTCGGCTAATGTTCAGTGGGAGATCTTCCGAGTCCACAACACCCCTGATGAAGTTCAGGTACTCGGGTATCAGATCTTCACAGTTGTCCATGATAAACACGCGGCGCACATACAACTTGATGTTGTTCCGCTTCTTCCGGTTCTCAAACAAGTCGAAGGCAGCACGCTTTGGGATGAAGAGCAGGGCACGGAACTCCAGTTGGCCCTCCACGGAGAAGTGCTTCACTACCAGGTGGTCCTCCCAGTCGTTGCTAAGCTGCTTGTAAAATTCACCGTAGTCCTCCCGCGTTATGTCATCTGGATTCCTCGTCCACAGTGGCTTCATCTTATTCAACTCCTCCTCATCCATGTACTTCTCCTTTATCTGCTTCTTCTTCTTTTTCTTCTCTTTCGATTTTTCGTCATCACCTTCCTTCTCTGAATCCTCCTCATCATCAATATCTTCTACCTTCGGCTTGCCTTCCTCACCTTCAGCCTTCTCACCCTCCTCCTTCTTCTCCTCCTCCACCATCTCCTCGTCATCCGACACATCCTTCGTCCGCTCCTTCTCCACCATCAACTTTATTGGATAGCCGATGAACTGCGAGTGCTTTGTTACGACGTCACGGACTCTCTTCTCTTCTAGGTACTCCACCTGGTCTTCCTTCACGTGAAGAATTATCTTCGTCCCTCGACCAATCGGATCTTCTTCCATCGGGCGAATTGTGAAAGAACCACCGGCAGACGACTCCCACAGGTACTGCACATCATCATTGTGTTTCGAAATCACCTGCACCTTGTCTGCCACCAGGTAGGCCGAATAGAAGCCCACACCGAACTGACCAATCATTGAGATATCAGCTCCCGCCGACAGAGCCTCCATGAAGGCCTTTGTGCCAGATCGAGCGATCGTGCCCAGATTGTTGATAAGGTCGGCCTTTGTCATGCCGATACCGCTATCAATGATCGTCAGCGTGTTGTCCGCCTTGTTGGGGATGACTTTGATGCACAACTCCTTGTTCGTGTCCAAAACCTCGGGGTTAGTTAGACTCTCGTAGCGAATCTTGTCGAGGGCATCACTGCAGTTGGAAATCAGCTCTCGCAGGAAGATCTCCTTATTGGAGTAGAAAGTGTTGATGATCAGGCTCATAAGCTGAGCGATCTCAGCCTGGAAGGCGAAGGTCTCAGGCTCTTCGGACATGGTAACGGAGAGGGACGGCAATAGTAACTGACTTGTGGTTCTTTGCTTAAGCAGAGGATTTAGAATATTCCAGACCGTAATTGCTCATATTAACCAATCGAAACGTCGTTTTGGATTGACGCCTGTTCTAGAACATTCCACTTGGTTGTGATTGGTGCAGACTCCTAGTCAATGAGGTCAGCCTGGCTGTCGGTTTGGCGGTCTGTGGTGCGCTAGTGACACCAGAGTCGGAATTCCCGGACGCACTGCCCTGTCCGGGACTGTCTATTGGTCGTTATCATTGTCGGCCGAGTTAGAACCTGTTAGAACCTTCACTTGTGTTGTCGTTTAGTTGTGCTGGATTTCCCACTGCTGGACAAAATGTTTGATCATTCACCCTTTTTAGTACGTCTTTGTGTGGTGTCCATGCTGCAAGCGGGAACCGCATACACCTCGGTCACCTCTAAGCCTGATTTTCGGCTATTCTAACGGATCAAACGCCTGCAACAGTGGCTCCTAGCAAAGGAATAGCATGTGTCATCAATAGCATACTAAACGCCGACAACCTCAGCTGCAGGGAAAGGTGGAAAAACATTAGTCTAGTTGTCGTGCTTATTGTGAATCCATGAGGTTTGTGTGGAGTGGACTCCCACTGGTTCATTGGCGCTGAGAGTCCTGGTCGGTTCAGTAGGCGGTCTTGACTGCTATCATCTCACGCTCTGTCACCCTATGCTTTTAGATTCAATATCTTCTGTGACCTGAAAACTTTGGTTTTGTGATAACGAGAGGCAGGCTGGCTGCTCTGGAGTGCTGGTTTTGGGCAGTGGCGTGAAAATCTTATGCATCTGCTTCGTCCCTCGTGCATCCATCGCCATCACATTTCTCAAAGGGCGTTCCTTTGCATATGCGGTCAATAACTGCTGCAGCACTCTTAGTCACTGCCCGACTCTCTTTTCTGCCAAAGATTTCTTAGCTGCTTCTGTACTTTACACCCCACAGGTTGACTTTGGTACCAGTTTTCCCATCCTGTCATGACTTTACTTGCTATTAGGCGCAGTTTAGTTACGTTTTTTTTTACTGTCTTGTCGCCGTTTCTGGCCTATAGCATGGCGCTGTGCTAAGCTTTTTCCAATGCTCAACTTGAATTTAAGTCCGACCAGATGCGTTTGCAGAACGACCTTGAGATTAGTGGAGAAATTTACTAACGGCCCCAGCCTACAACCTCAGTTAGCATTTGGAGACTTGACTCCAACTTTTGTTGCTATGGGCTTGCCTATGTATTTGGTGACCTACTTTTTTTCACAGTAAGTCACAGTTCTATGCCGAAGTGCACTCTGTCACTCAGCCAATCAGTTTCCTCACAGACGATGAGTCATTACCTTGTTCTTGTCCTAATCATCTAATCGACCAAATGCCCAAAAGGTTGTTTACTGAGTACCTATTCAGATATATGTACTACGTGCACGTGTACATCACTCTGATGGTCAGGGGGGTAAGACACGAGGAAAGGCCCCCCCCCCTCCCCAGCAATAGTGGTGGCCATACATTGGGTTTCAGGAAGGGGACCCATCTCCGTGTCCTAAGCCTAACTTCCACGATATTTGGCGTAAGACCACCTGTGTTACGAAGGGGGCTTCTATTCCCACGTCTTACCTGGCCGGAGGAGTGAATTCACCCAATGCTTGTGGACACCTGTCGTCAACTACACCGATCTTTTAGACGTCGTACAATTTGTGGAGCTACATTTATGCTCCATAAAACTGTGCGTGTCGAATACCTTGCGCTGTTCAGCACTTTCCACCACTAACTATGATTTCGGTCTGCCTTCCTAGGGCTATCCTTCGGACTCAACTCTATTTGCCGGGATATATGTCAGTACTTGTAGGC